GAATCAGAGGCAATGACGCATGACCAACTGAAAGAATGGACCTTCCAGAAAAACCGAAAGCCATGAATGCAAGTTCTGAGTGATTCTGATTCTTCGGCGAGGCGGCAGCCGGCAACCTGGAAGAAATCAGGGTTAGAGTTTTAGAAGATATAAAACTTGCTTTGCAGAAAACCGCTTTCCGACGATGAGGCTCTTCACAACCGCCACCGATGACTGAAATCGAGTCTTGTCTTTTTTTGCGATATGTGTACGGTTGTGCTGATTCATCCGTCCCGCTGAGCATTGTACATTGTTAACGCCGTTGCTTTTGAGTATTCGCTCAGTTGCATCGCCAGTTCAAAACGCCGCTCACTTTGCGAAACAAAAGCGTTTCACTTTCAAGTTTTATTTTTGCTATTTAAATGCGATGTTGTTTTTAAAAGCATGTTTTTAGCCGTGGTTGTTTTTTGACCAATTCATGTAGTGTTTGTACATACATTTATATGTTTGTGCATGCCGCCAAAAAACTGCGCCATGCTGCTTCGGCTTTGACAAGGCCAATTCTGAACCCGTAGGCTGTGCATTGAGTTTATGCCAGAGCTCGGTTCTCTGGCGGTTAGTTCAAGTAATTCCCGAAATATGCAGCTTTTTAAACCTCCTGCTTTCCGTGCCATAATTCGTGATTTCTTGGCACAGTTGATCCGTAAGATTTGTTAAAACGCTCTCTGGTCTGTTTAAGATTAGGGAGCATTCAGGGCAAATTATCTCTGGTTTCATTGCACGATGAACTATTGGCCTTAGACATCTCGAGAATGTCGATTGCGTATAATTTTGGTATTGCATACACCAGGTTCAAATATCTAATTAGTGCTTTTGCACTCGTCAAGGAAACTTACACTCCTTATACTTTGCATGGAGATAAGTGCTCTGTAGAAAAATCTACACTTATATTCCTATGTTAATATTAACACGGTGCTATCTGTTCAAATTTACGTTTTATGAGGATCGTCAGCAGCACCGGAATGTTCAATATCCAAAATCTCTTCGGGTGGCTTTTCTCTCTTCCTCTCTCGTTTTTTTTCTCCCGCAGTGGTACCTGAAAAGTCATCTTTATTCATGACGTTTCTATGGTCATTATGAATCTCAGAGGAAGCGGTTAACATATCGCTTACGCGCAACTTCTTAAGCGTTTTTATTGTAGAAAGCTACTGCGTGCCGTGCAGGTAGCTCGGCTTACCGACGAGAGATCGTCGACTAGTACCATTGAGGCAAACTTGGCCGCTTGGTCGTCCATCCCGACGGTGGGAAGGTCGCGTCAGAAGCCTGGAAACCACGCTTGAAAAGTGGAATGGCAGCCTGCTGCTGCTTGGGGTCCAAATAATCGATGATTATTGACCGGTCCGAGTGATTAAGGTGATTATTTATTCGTTAATTGGTTTTTGTAAATTTCTATATTTCCATGTGAAAGAGTCAGTCCTTTGGAGATTTTATGCAAGTGGTAAACTTAGAATTTCATACAGAGAAATTGTGATGTACAGAGATGCATATGACATGGGCCAAGAAAATATAGTGGATAGTATCATGAGGAACTTTAAACTGTAAGGTCTATCGAAGTTGATAAATTGCGCTTGGAAATATCGTCGATTCTGCGCTTTATTAATAGTTAAGCAATTTCTTGACGCTCGATTCCTCATTTACGACGCAACTTCGGTTTGGAAAGCATTTTTATCTCAAACGTCATGCCATCCTTTTGCATTATGATCTGGCTGGAGGTGCCACAGAAGGACCTCTACGGTGAAGGGAGGCGGTGAGGCCAGACGCTGCTCAGTGAACCCTACTGTGACCAGCCCTCGCCAGCGCTTCTCTTCTGGATCTCCATGGGCTGATTGAAAAATAGTGGAGGACGGAAACTATAGTTATATATCCGAGGATTCGTACTTCGAGTGTACAACCTACGAAACTTGCCAAAAAACGTAAAGCGTGGAAGAATACTGGGATCATGGATTCTACCACGTCCACTTTGCAAATTCTAGGAATGCTTACGACCCGGTGATGGGCAGGAGGCGAATAGTAAGCGGTTATAGGATATGATCTGAATCTTCGTGGCTAGCCAAAGCACCAGCACTGTGTCAAAGACGCGCTCGTCGACATTTGCATCGCCGAGGCGAAGGAGATCTAAGCAGATGTTCTGGGAGTGCCAGAATCTCGAACTTATCACCACTTGGAACAATGGTGTTTAAATATTCCTCGGGAAATAGTACGAAAACGGGACTCAGGCGGATGATGTCGGATTCGTCGTAAAGAAAGGGGCTGACCACTTGTAATCTGTCGCGACATCATGTCACCTTGTGTCGCGGTACAAACTCTTTCGGTGGACAATAGAAGATCACTAAGGATGATCAATTCTATGAGGCATTGGAAGGCACAATGCAAAACACGTCCACAACACAGTCCTCGACGGGAACTTCAACCTCTCAGTAAGGAAGGAAACAGGGACAGAGCGTTTCATCTGCCGGTTTGGAAGTAGGAAGCGAAACGAATGCGCCTCTCACCTCGTAGCGTTTGTCGAAAGTAACTGCCTCCACATAATGAATGCTACACTAGAAAAAGCCGAGAAGCTGTGGTGAGTGTGGAAGAGCCGTAATGGAACGGCCCGTAGCCATATCGACTATGTCCAAAGCGGATAACAGCATTTATGTGTCCCTCATTGATAAAAACACTGTCTGCACGGGGTTGGGCATAAAATTACTCCGTTCCACAGTCGCAATCGGTGTCGCTAAACAAGATCGGATTAGATAGGCTAAAAGACCACTGCCCACTGGACGAATATTCCAAAATTATTGGCCGAATATTGGAATATTGAACATTGGACATATACTACCCTGAAGCTTTCTCAGGCAAACATCCTCCACTAAATCTCGCAGCATGCATCAGCAGAAATATCGGTGAAGATTACCAGCACTTTGCCGATGCCATCAAGACTGCCATCCGGTAATCCAGCCAGGCAGCAATGTCGACGATCGGTGTTCTGTGTTGTGCAGAGAAATACAGAAGAGGACTCGTAATGGAAATCTGTTAGGAAAAGAAAACTCTTCTCCGTTTGGCACCCTTGTTTTCATGAAATTGATGGTGCGGTGTTGATTTCTATTTCTATGCCATCAGCCAGGAATGCCTTATTTTTTTTAAAGGCAGCGTCTGCGGCTATGTAGCAAGTGTATCGTCGTCTCCTGTCTCTTTCCGACTGAGTGGTACTCATTCATCAACCTCAGAAGGAAGGAAGACGAGTTATCACAAGCAGGG